ATATAGGGAATTTCAGAGAGGTAAAATATAATTTAGAGGGCAGAGCATTAGATTTATGCATTTCTGCTCTAACTCTGTGGCTTGTAATGACCAGTGATCAGTATCTTGGTTTTATGCATCAACCCCAATACGAATGTTTTTTTTAAAAGTAGTTCTTACCTTCCAAACTTGCTGATGTAAAGCAAATGAGTCAAGAACAGCATGAAAACACATCAGAAAAAAATCTACCATTATGTATTGTGCCCCAGGATGCACACTCAGTGCCTTTGCCAAGGAAGAGGTTATCTACTGTCCCCACAGTTTATCTGATAATGCAAGGTTCACTTCAAAGCCTAATCTTTGCCAATAAGGAGTTAATATGCACTTATCTTTAATAGCTAGCTACTTGATGTATCCCTTCAAAAAATCAAATGGATATGTTCATCTCCTCCTAGTTGTTTTATTACATATTTATTATATGTTCTTATTATGAGACACCCAAAATATTATTAACAAGTTGGGTTTTTTAGGGCTTCCTCTCATATAAAATTTTTCTGGGATCTCTCTGTCCTCATCTAGTCAGGTGCGAGTCCTTATTCTGCAGCTAAGAAGACTAAATATTAATTTCCAGGGATGAAACTACAGCTTTCCAAATGCCTTTTGAAGAGTAATCTGATGCCAGCAAGACCGAAATTTTGAACAGAGCAAAATATCTGCTGTTTCTGCAGGCCAATCACTTGTCACTGGAAAACAAATGCAAGACTCAAAATGAATTTATGGGATTTCCACTAAAATTCCTTTTTGTCCCCGCTGAAGGGCTTCTGGGTCACACTGACCTGCATACAGATACAGATGTGCCTGTGCAATGTTGAGCCATAGGATTCAAGCCACAGAAGTGGAACAGTATCCTGCAACTGGTGCAGGACAGTCCTGTGGTTTTCACCTTGCCTGTGCGTTGCACAGCGTTGCAGGTTTCCAGCACCAAGGTTTGGCTGTGAAAGGCAAGCAAGCAACACCTAGTAGGATTAACTATTCTCAGCTTCATCTGCTTGTCAGATAACTAACTGAAAGTATGTGATCTTTCAGTAGGGTAGATATGATATAAGCAAAGATACTGAACAATTTCCTGCATTGCATAGTAATTTATAAATGCAGTTTTCATAAAGTCCTGAAGGAAGATCATGTCAAGGAAACAATGAACATACATGAGACAAAAGTACCACTCATAAAATCCCATAACCTGGAAATGACCAGTTGAACAACAGAGTGACTTTTCCAGGGGAACCAGTGTCAAAATGAATACAACAATTACTGAAGCTCTGAATAATCTGTTTTATCTACACAACTAGAGCCTCCAAGAGGATGGACTTACATTCCAGCATAGCTCAAACATGAAAACAGGATGCAGTTTAAAGGCTTCTGTCTGGGGTCACTGATGCAAACTGCTCAACACCCAAGACCCCCCAAGCACTGTTAGGGTTTCTGAGACAATCAGACTACATCTGCTGTCAGTGCTGTGCCCTTGGTCTCCACAATTCCTCAGGCAGCCCTGGGGTTAGCCATTTTGCTTACACACAGCTGGTTACCAGTAAACCTGCACAGCTTTGTATCATTTGGGCCTTGCACCCACCCATTGTCACCCAGCAGTCAGCCCAACACCCACCAGTCTCACAAAGCTGGGGGGCAGATGGGCAAGACCCCACTAGATGGCACTACGATCCAGACTGGTTTTGCTTATTGCAGACTTTTAAGTTAATTTCTTATTTTGGATCCAACTGACCTTCTCGTTTGCTTTCTGTGTGCAGTATGCATGGTGCTCCGTAAAGAGTCTGTTATGGCCATTTATCCATATGTTTGCTAAGATGTTTTTAAGAGAAAAGTACCCATGCAGTGTCAGCATCTCCCCTGACCTTTGACACTGCTCACCTCAAAGCCATCTTTTCCATTTTATTTCAGGTTCATCTTTGAAGCTAAACACACCAGGAAGAGGGAGTGAGGGTCGTCAGTCAAATCATCACAAAATTTGCAAGTGAAAACTCCAAATGTACTCTCTTACAAGTACATTTCTTCCATTTAATGGGCACAGAGTATCAAATATTTAATAGTGTCACTTGTGCATACTGACAGATCAGCATCCAAGCTAACCAGCCTGCGATAAGATAAAAAACATTCCCATTAACTTTGCAGAGAGCCCTAATAGGTACTAACAGTTAACTCTCATATACCTGCTTGTCAACTCATGTGTTGACACTCCTTGAAAAACATCTGAAAGCCCACATTGCCAATCTGATTTCCTGCTAGAACAGATGACTCTTCATTTGATTCCTGCATAACTGGGATGATATGACCCTTTCCCATGCTCTAGCATGGGAAGTAATTTAGGAATTAATTTGCAAAAAAAAAAAAAAAATCCACAAGATATAACAAGGTATATACAGTAATGGCGGTACAACATTTATTCTATGGGAAAACCAAAATAGGGCAAAGCAAAGCAAAGGGTCTTTGCCTTTGTAATCAGATTAGCAGAACTCAAAGGTAAGTGAGAGCAGAATTTCCATGTTCCACAGAACATGTGTTGGACAACTAAATCTGCATAGTCATTTTCAAAACAAAGATATTTACACAGGAGGATGTTTACCCATGTCCATCTACTTGCAACATTCCATCTGTGTGCCCACTCCAACTGCTACCATATCAAAACAACAAACATAAGCAAGGAGCTGCTCCTTTTAGCATACTTAAACCTGAACACTGCAGAAAGCAGCAGTAACAATCCTGGCTGGTGGTCATGGCAGTCTCAATGTACTATATTCAATAGAGCCATGTACGTATCTCCTGAAGGGCAGCACATGTTCTTAGCTCTACTTATTGCATACTGCATTGTAAACATGTACTTTAATATGGCAAACACTCATATTCATGGCAGACATTTTTCAGCATAATGTGTCGCCTTAAACTTGTCCTATGCACTTTCCAGGATGACTATGATATTAATCTATATGTTACTAATGCCTTGACAAACACCACTTAAGTAAGGAGATAGTGAAAGTTAAAGATTAATAAACCCACACCACAAAATTACAACCTGACCTTTCCCACTGAAGATCCAAATCTACTGCTCCTCATGAGCCCCACCAATGTATGAAAACTGTTTTGTCTCTGCCTTGGACTGATGCTAAGATGAAAACCAGCTGCCAGCAACCTAAAATTTCTTAAAGATAGAATAAAATGGCAAGCTCTGTGTGGTTTGTGCAGAATACAGGCAAGTAACTGTCAGGGAGCTTTTTTTTTTCTTTTTCTGTGGCTTGTATTTTGCAAGCAAACAGCTTTTCTATCCAGCTAGCACTGAAAGCACAAGCACCACCTGGAATTCCTCCCAAGGATGCCATGACAAACTATAGTAGAAACTGGGGAAGAGGAGATGTAGATCGTGAAAATGCAAAAAAAAAGCTGAGGGAGATTCTAAGAGTCAGAGCATGGTGAAATTTTCAAGAACAGAAAAGAGGAAGAAAAGAGATATGAAAACGGAGTTTGGCAGATAGCTCAGTCCACACCCTCCAACACAACAGGGTCTTCTTGTAAAGGAGGTAATTTTCAACTGTAATTGATACCAGCCTTAGCAGCTTGTCAGACAGGTTGCCAGTTATGTGAAGGCTGATGACAAAACCATTTCTTCTACAGAAACCAAATTATATTTACAAACTTCCAGTAGATTAGGGAAGGTCCTGCATGCAGTGACAAATGTGTACCAATAGCCCACATGCTTCAATACACTGAGCATGCCCCTCTGTACAAACATGGTAGACAGCGTCCCTCTTTTTTGGACAATGGCACTTCAAAAGCCATGTTGAAAACATTTTCACTACAGCTCATACCCTCTCTCTCTAGTTTACATCTGGCTGAACCAAAACAGGAAGAATTACGATATAAGTGTACAAAATATTAAGCACCAGTATGAGACAGAAACTGTACTTAATGACAGCTGCCTTCTAAAAGTCTACAAGACATTAATTAGTTGCTGTTCTCTGCAGCCTGCCTCTGCCTGGCTGGGGACAGGGCTACAGATGAATGGCAGCAATAGGCCAGACTCATGCCCTACAGCAGGTAGACAGAAGTGAGCCATGCTCACTCAACTCTTCTTTCCCTTTATCAGCCTCATAAATGATGCTAGGAGAAAATAATCAAGTCTAATTAAACACCAAGCAATTAAATAGCAGTTAATACATAAAGATGCTGAAAATAAAGTTTGACCAATCAAAGCTAACATTTGCTACAAAGCTGTTACTGAGATGTAGTAAGAAGTTAATAACAATTATAAATAATAATGTACTCAACTAAAACCAATAGCCTCTCCAATCCCACCTCCCACTCCTCAGCTATCCATGGAGCACTCAGTTGAAGAGGTTATTCCTCAGTCAACTTCAGAACAGGACATCAACTTATACCCTGTGCTCCTCTTTACCCCTCTCCACATATGTCCTCAAAGTAACATTAGACTCTGGGGCTGTTTCTTCAGGAATTTTCATTCTCCCCTGCTTTATGTGTTCTCCCAATTCCAAGAGTTTTCAGCTTAAAATAAGTCCTTTCCTGACAAGTCAGATGGTTTTTGTGCGAAGTGTCCGTGGTCCCTCTGAGTTATTAACAGCCCCACACACAGCTTCTCTTCTCTTCCCCTCCTTCCAGTCCTCACAGTGGCCCATTATGCTAAATGACACTGATCCAAAAATGGGAGTTGAGGGATATACTCTGAAATAGGCTAGAAAACCTCTACTGTGGCAGGGCCCATGAGAGGACAGCTTTTTTAAGCATTTGTGTCTGTGCTGAATAATTTCGGAAGTTACACATTTAAATTTCCTCTCTACGTGCTGGAGTCTGCCCTGTGAGGAGCTCACTAAAACTGAGGTACTGAAGAGTATGATCAGTTTTCTGAGGGTGCTGTGACCTAGAGGCAGGTCTGATTACATCATTTGTTTTGGGTTGAGTCTCAGGAGGTTTATAAAAAGCAGTCCTAAAAGGAAGGAGAGAGACAAGGGGAGAGAAGGGCAATAACTCATTAGAAGAAGCTCTGTGTGCATTCTGCTATTTGGCACACATCTACAAGAAAGTTTCTTCAGAGTGCAGAGAAACCTGTGAACGGTCGGAATATTATAAGTCTTTCCTTGAGATGTCAGTCAAGAGCTTCAGTACAGTCACAGTCACTACTGTGCTTATTTTCTTCCTAAAGATACAACTCTCAGTGCAAGCGCCGTTGAATGGTAAAGTCTTTCAGCTTTCTATTTTATTGTCACTTGTAACGTAGGGCAGCTAATGTATGAAGAAAACTGGCATCTTTTAATTATTACTATTTCAATAGCATGCTCAAAGTTGTATATTGCTGCAGTTTACAGTTGTTTGTTTGGAGTTAGTACCCTTCTTTCAATTTCTCAGAATAAGTATTCTGATGTGTGCAGGAAAAAGAAATTTGTTCTCTGATTTAGTTTGCATTACAGACTTCTTGCACGCTCAGTTTGCCTTGCTTTGTGATCTTTTTGTTTCTCATAGAATGAAGAAGAGACTGGCCCTTCTCAGCTAGTGGACGAATCACACCTTTCCCTCTGTCTGTTTATTTTTAAACCAGAGAAAAAGAATGCAATCCCTGTGAAGCACCCCATATACTAGACCTCATTCTCTTTAAATAGGGCCAGTTTCAGGAGGTCAGCGCTCCTCACTCTCTTTTTAGGAGTTAATGTTCATCTATTCAAGCTGATTATAATCCGTTTTCATCCATTCAAGCTAATTAGAATCCACCTAGTGTGATTGTATGATATGAGGGAGAATCATTGTAAAGGGTTGTGTGAGAGGACTTACTCAGCACGTATATTCATGGGACAAAAATCCTGAAGGCTGCAGTGTAATCCCGAGCAGTCAGATTCAGACAGAGCTCTGGCAAGATAAGCATTTTACCATTTTTTTTGCATGAGCTACGTAAGGGGTGGAAGTCAAACTTTCAAGGTCACCTTCTTATTTTGGGGATACATTCTCTGAAAAGTGGCTATATTCTCTAGTAGAGTTTCTCACTTGAAGGCTCCTAGAGCTTGGTGATTCCCAGTAGAACAGAATAAAGCTTGGTACTTTCCAGGTGCTTTCTCTGACAACGCAGAAGGTGTGGAAGTGAAAGGATGTGTCAAAAATTTATGTCTTACAATACATCCTGAAGAGAATGCTGGAGAATTCCTATCTAAGAATTAGACAGCCAGTACCATAAAATGGCAAGAGCTACAGCATCTGCCTGTCTCTGACATCTTCCCAAGTCAGAGACACAACTAACACAGGTTCTCACAACTAAAAGCATTCCCACTTTGCCAGCTCCCAAGTGACATTGGAAACATATTAATTCCCTGGATATCTATCAGTGAAACACAGATACTCTGGCTCTAGAAACCTCCTCTGTCATGCACGGCATGTAACTCTGTTACTCATCAGCATGAGCAGAGAGACAGGAGAGTGCTCACAATATGGAGCTGTTGATAGTTCCCTTCTCGATGTGAATCAGACACTCTATTGACTCTTCTCCTATTTTGGGAGACTGTGTGACAGTCTGCCTCATCCTCATTTCACTATCAAGCAGAATAAAGGTAATATCAACCTTGCCCATAGCAGCAAATCACTTTTGCAGCTCTACATGCTCATTCAGACAAAATCAAGAAGATTCTTGTGATCTAAGTTAAGATGAAACAAGTGGTAAATGTGCCTCAGCCCTACCTGTACTGGTTGCTATTACTGTGCACATCAGTGAAGTCATAATGGTAGTGAATTGCAGATCATCAAAATGCTCACAGGCTAAGGGAAATTTCACTTGGTAAAAGACTTTAAGCTTTCATTTATTTTTGTTCCAGTTGGCATAAACACCCAAAGTACTGAAAATCTTGACTGTTCTAACGTTGTTCTTCTAGATTATAAAAATTCTAGCTTTGACACTTCATACAAATTTTAATGGACAGTAAGAGCATGAGCAGAGAGTAGCTATTGTAGCTAAGCCAGTATTTCTTCAAATCCTGCTCAGATGAGAATGTGGCGATTTCTAAAACCTGTTGACAGTCAGTTACTGTCTTTGTGAAAGTTTTACCAACAGAATGTGCTGACCAGAGGACACAAGCATCCCCAAAACAACTGAGTAAGAGATAATCCCCTGCAGAGAGAACGGGAGAGGAGAATGGGGTTTCTCATCTTGAAATCTAAGACAGTGCATGAATTCTTCTACACGAGAAACCTGGGCACTTCAGTCAGGATGATTACACAGACCTTGTTTTGAAAATTCCAGTATAAAAGAACAAGATACACCGGTCCCAACAAACTGGAAGTGGAGAGCTGAGTGTTCCCAGCACATATCAATACAAAAGGAATAAGTACAGCTGTTTTGCACATCCCTACAAATTAATCCCAAATATTTCATACGACATTCTTTGGAGAAGAGCTGTATCTGTGACCACACTTCAGAGCATAAGAAATGTAGCCAAGAATCATGTACTGAGCAGACATGTGCATGTAAGGATAAATATTTGCCTGCATGCAGGCACGCACACACAGACACACCGAGTGTTTGCAAGACTTGTAATTCAGGACAGTTTTCTTAGCAGAAATAAAATTACATTTGCTGAGAGTAAAGATCTGCATTAGCCTGATAACCAAAACTGTTCAGGTCTGTCAGAACAAGCACCTGTAATTACAAGGCAAGCTGAATAACTGTGTAGGTTTCAGGACAAAAAAAAAATAAAATTAAAAAGAGCATGTAATGTCAAGACATTTCCAAAGACATGCAGAAACACTGTACACAAGTTCAGTTCCTTAAGCAATGGATGAATAGTAATAATTTTAACAATTTAACACTCACTTAATTCCCCAGGATTCTCAGAGTTACATGGGTTCATGTATCATACTCCCTTTTTCTAAAGTCCATTTATTCCTATCTGTTGGCAAATCCCAGAGCCACTGTACAGAAATGACTGTACATCACTTCTCAGTGTAGCAACTGGCAATTCACTGATGTTTCTCAAACTCCTCAACTAGGCATGAGGGGGTTCATTATAGCTACATCTCATTTATAGTCCTTCGTTTCCTAACCAGAAAAAAGCCAGGGATGTACCTATAAACAGAGTCTGTGGCTATTAAAAAAAACAACAAACCAAACATCCCTCCCAAAAACATGACAAAAGTTTCGCTTCAGGATTTAAGTGACCACAAGAAAGTCAAGCCCTATAGGCAGGATCACAGGGATAATTATAATCTGGACAAGAAGGGTTCGTAACCTTTAGAAGTGTCTGTTTTGCTCAACATCTGGGGCTAGAAAGACAGATAAAACTACTGCAAAATTCAGTACATGGGTTTAAGTGGCAATTTGTTTCTTTACAGAGTAAGATCAATTTCAAATATTCACAGCAATATTTTCTTTGTCTTTGAACAGGGTCAAAATGGTCTTATATTGGTAAGTACTAACTGATTTATATGTACTAATTTGTGGCTTTGTTCTATATTTTAAGGACAACGTGCCAAATGTATCTAGGTGAGAATCTACTGGGTCCACTATCTTTACCCAGGTTTGGATCTGGCTCATTGTCTTGAAGTGTCATTCATCCATCAGGTTTCGTATCTGGCTGAGTAAGAGGCAGTTATTTGGTTCTAAATTGCCTTGCAGAATGACAGGAACTTTGGCAGACTAAGACTGGCCCACAACTGCAGAAGTTCCTCACAGCCCTCTGTTTCCTCACCCATCACAGACCAGCAGCACGTTTCAGCCTAGTTCTGCAAAGAGTGTATCTCTCCCTATCCACATGGGTCTTCATTTTTATGTAGAGTCAGAGTTCAGCAAGTCACCTGTATCGTGCTACTGGCGACTCAGCTCCCTGAAAATCCCAGCACTGACAAGACAGAATAAATTATATTCAGGAAAGCAGTGTTATTGCGTTATTTTGTACACTAGTCCTTTAAGTCAGCTACTAACCCAGAAGAATCTGATGGCTGCTCAGGAAAAATCATCTAGAAATTTTTTTTTTAGTTGATCAAATCCTCTGACTACTCATTCAGAGTAGTATTTTATATGCCACATGCCCACAGAGGTAGGTAGAACTGAGAAGCTCAGGAAAAAATGCTTGCTCTTAAGCCTTTGGTGCTGCTCCAAGACAACACAAAGAACCTCTGAGACTGAACTTGCTGCTAATAACTACTCCCTTTGGCTGTGCTCCAGTTTACCTGACTTGCTTCACGTAAGCAAAACTGTCAGCTGCATGTCTATAGGTATTAATCTAACTGCCAGTATGCATACATATACTTACGTGTACATGTATACTTCACATTCTCATTAGGGAAAAACCAGCTTGACACAGTTTGAGTAACAAAAGCCTGGGTTTCCCATGTTGACCAGATGAACCTAACCCTGCTGGATAGTAAGGAAAGCAAGACTTCTACCATCGAAGTAGAAGTTTTGCCCTTCTTTCCAGGGTAATGCTTGTTTAAATCAATTACTACACCCGTTCTGAGAATTCCAGAATCAGTGTTTATTTCAGAGTATGTCATTCTCAGTGCCCAACTTCATCAATTCCTGTTAAGCACTTCCATGCTGCAGTCTGATTTCTAACATGTACTGGGGAATAGAGGGAAGGTTCACAACACAGATTCTTATTTTTTTCCTTCAACTACCGATTTTCAAATATATTTAGAAAAACACATAATAGCAAATTCAAAAAATTAAAGTGACAACTGAACTTGTACAGAATAGTCCTTTCCATATACCTGGAAAAAAGCAGAGGTAGAACACTGGTCTGCACAGAGAAAAATTGTGATTAGAGAGCCTGCAGTCAGCCAGAAAAGAGCCACTCTATACTCTCCTACTGAACCTGGTTCCTTACAGCAGCCTACACCTTCCAGCATTTACCTTTATCCCGGCAACACTTTGCAACGCCGCCCACTAAAATTAAGTCAAGAGGAAAGGAAAGGAAGTCAAGCCATTACAATTGCAGTGCAGATTGATGTCAAGATGAGGGCCAAGGTACAAGATTGAGGGTGGAGAAGTCCGGGTGCTGATTGTCACTGAGAGTTCTATTTGTTCAGTATGACAATATGTAAAACCGAATGTTGACACAGCATTAGCAGCTCAGGGCACGGTGGCAAAGCAAGATGACACTGCACATGATCATTATCTTTTCAATGCAAGTTTTCCAAAGAAATGAACATTTGGCTTGGTTATAATGGAAACTATAAAGGCTAAACCTCTGCTCTATTTGCCTCTTCCTTAGCCAAACTGCAGCAATGCTATTTATTCTTCCTGATTTCACTACTCTTGTATATAGCCCAAGAAAAAGTGCCTGGAAGAAACAGCACAGACCAGTGAGCTGGGGCATGAGCCCTCAGCCCCCTCTGGCCCAGGCTTGCTCTGTGTTCTCTGATGGGACTCTTCACCTTCTGTAAAATGGACAAAGTAGGTGAGCTGTATAATGAGAAAAGTTATTTCAGTTAAAGAACTAAAGAATTGTTCTGATGCCTCATAGCTCAGGACAGCCCGTGCATGCAGCTTGTGGCACTGTTGCTGTACGGCTGGAAGGTGCAGGCCAGAAGTCCTCTGCCCCAGAAGGGAACTGGAGACCTGGGCTCCAATTCTTTGGATTCTGGCTTTCTGCTTCTGTAATGTAAGAGGGCTGGAAAGAAATCAAAGACTAAGAATCACTCCTCAAGAGTGGACAAGCAGCTACAATGCAGAAAACTAGCTTTGCAGCCAAGTTTAAAGCAATAGTGCCAACAAAATTATTAACGTGCTTTAGCATGTGAGGAGACACAAGAGCTGTTGCAAACAGGCACCAGGCTAATTGAACTTGCAAACTCTTTAGTTTTACTGTTGCCAAATACCGTACTCCAACTCAGTGAGGTGCTGAGACCCTGTGCTAAGACCCTTCCACCTCCCCTTAGGAAATGCCAGCTTTAAGTGAACACACTAGAACATGCCCAAAATTTCTCATACAGCACTTGAATGGAATAACAGAGACAGCTACAGCCCTTGGCAATTCCTCTCTCACAAGCTTCCCTCTGGACACATATGTGGAAGACATACACATATTGGACATATGCACACAGAATACCATAACTAAGCTCTGCCCGTGCTCTGAGTGAAATGGAAACCATGTGGTCACGTTACTGTGGCAGGGAGCCTGGACTCTCAGCCTTCACTGCTAACTCAGCCCTGGGCAAACGGCAGCTACACGGCTTCCAGCTGGCTGAAAACAGGGCAGAGCGCTCTGCCCTGGCTGCAAAAATACCACAGGCATTCCCTGTGTTACTGACTTAATGCATCTTAAGACATTAGTTTACTTCAGATCAAGAAAACTTGGACACCCTGTGAGAAGCTTGAGCATTGTGAATCAGAGCAAAAGTCTGTTGGTAACACTGGTGTCTCATAGGCCTGTTTTCTTCTTTTTTTAAGTCAGTCAATGTACACATCCTGGGAGTTGACACCACTGTTGTTCCTAAAGGAACACCCGTCCTGCATCGGCCAGCAGCGCCAGGGCTGCAGGGCTGGCTGAAGGCTCAGGCATGGAAAGCTGAAGGCTGTCAAAGGAGATGATACAGTGGACACATGCAGCCACGGCGCTGAGGGTATTTTGCTCACCTCACTGTGCAGCTGGGCAGCAAGACCATCCAAAGAACTAATACTACTTTATTTACAGACATCTTTTATAAAATAGACATGAGGGCACAGCCAGGCTCAGGTTTATTTACAGCATGGTAGGGAACATGGTCCTGGAAACTCATGTTTCCAGGCAGCCCCCAGGCTGGATTTGAGCAACCCGAGTCTGCACTCCCTATAGAATTATCATGTGTTTATGGCTGCATTGGTAGCAGTGGTAGCAGGATGGGTCTTACTTCCACCCGTACCAACTGCTCCGTACCTTCATTTGCCCATTCCAACAGCTGAATGTTAGTGTTGGGTGGGCAGGACAGGCCCATGGCACAATTATGGCTCTGCAATTATTAGTCCATATGGGATCCTCATAGCAGGAAACATCACCTGAGACGCCTGGGTCTTTCCCTTTGTCACAAATGTTGTCACAGAAGTGAGAAATTAATAACTAGGATATTTTTGCAATACTTCTCACGCTAATACCTTTTGAGCCTTGTAGTACAGGCCAATCTTAATGCATCCACATGCTATTCTTTATTCAGTAGTGATCAGACAGAACCTTTGTAAACACAATGTGATCTCCACTGAATTTATCTGAATGTGCTGGCACAGAAAAAGGAAAATCTGGTTCACAATCAATCATTCATTTTCAACAGAGGTAGCTGAGAAATGCCTTCCAGCTGTGTGGTTTATCTACCATGGAAATCTCAATTTCACATATGCAAACCCAAGCAGCAGTGAGCTCAGCTCTTTGAGACAGGAGGTTTGAGGCACTGAAATTAGGAAGCCTACATGGCACGGTTTCTAGAAAAACTGGTTTTGTATCAAAAAGGGGGTTTGTTTGGCTTGGTTGGGTTTTTTTTCTAATTAAGCAGGAGTGAGAAACAAGCAAAAATGGCTGTATCTTAGAGGCCTGTGAGTGGAGTTGCAGATTTATATCAAGAAAAGGATAACCGCTAGTAAAGATCAAGGTACATAAATACTGCAATAACTACAGCTTTTTATAGAAAACACAAAAGTTTCCCTTCTGAACTCCTGACGTTGGTGTGGAAGTTCCCATACTCTGTTGCTGGCTCTTAAGGGCATTCAATTCATCCAAACAAAGTACTGGAAAAGTGAGTAGTACTTCATGACATGGTTTCCACTGGCTGGGACTAGACTTCTATTTTATACGTCAATTAAAAATTACCTATTTAATTATCAAGTTTCCAAACCTATGATATGTAATATATTAAAGTCTTCTTGCAAACTCACTATCTTATCAGTGCACAGAAAACCCAAACCTTTTAAAATTACTGAAGTCTTCTTGCAATAAAGGCTTCTCCCCAGTTTTTCTGGCACTGCTGTAGCCTTAGCTCCCTGGAAAGTGTTAAATTTCAGTGTCATCTTGCACATCAAGTTTCAATCTCAAGAAACTACCATTTCCTGGTATATCTTGATATATATTTTCTGGGGAAATATTCTTGAGTATGTATATCCCAGGGTATGGAATTTATGGAACTGTTATTTGCCAAATATATGTAGAGGATAGTGTAACAGTCTTCTATTATGTCAGCATAACATTTATTAGCTTTTAACAAGAATCTCTTCTAGATGGAACTGTTATTTGCCAAATATATGTAGAGGATAGTGTAACAGTCTTCTATTATGTCAGCATAACATTTATTAGCTTTTAACAAGAATTTCAATAACTTTAAGATAGTACCATGAAGATCTAAGAGAAGAGCAATTAATGTGAATGGCAGCAAACTGGAGTCAAAGATGTAAGTTACAGCAGCATCAAGGCCTATTTATACTGAAAAGCACTGATTGAGTCTGAGTATCCACACTGCAAACAATCTCATGTGCTAACCTATGTCTTGAATAATCTTCAGGAGCTTTGTAAGTCTGTCTTTGAGCACCAGAAGTGAATTTGCCAATTCTGTCACATGTACTGTTTAAGTCAGATTCACCTTCACTATTCATACCCTTGGAAACTTTCACATAAAAATGTGAGCCTCTAATAATGTTCTCCTGACTGTTAATTTACCTTTAGAAAACATCTGAACTTGCTTTGCCACTGATGACCCGACCTAACATTAGATTCTGACATTCACAATTCATGGAAGATGTTAACAGACTGGGGAGACTTCAAAGAAGCCACAAGGAATATTATAGGTTTGGAAAAGCAGCCTTCTAACCAAAGACTCAAGGAACTCAATCTATTTAGTTTAAAAGAAGTGAGAAACTATGTACTCTATAAGTACTTCAATGAGGAACAGAAGTACATGAACAGGAGGCTCTTCAATTTCTAAGCAAAGGATTAAAAGCAATCACTATCTAAACAAAGTCAAAGCTAGACAAACTCACAGTGTTTGATAATTACTTGTCAAGCCGCCAAGGAAAGTAATCATCCATTGGGCACTAATTAAGTATCTTTTACCTGCAATGCTGAAAGGAAGAGTAGATGTTCTTTCACTTCTGAAACATACGGCCTCCTTGAAGTAGAAATTAATTCAGGGAGGTCCAATGGCCTGTCTTACACAGATCAGGTTGGGTGATCCTAAAAGACCTTCCTGCCTTAGAAAGAATCACAATGAATCTTCAGAGTCAAGGAGAAACACAAGTTGCAAGTATCTCTTTTGGTATTTAAATCCAAATGATCTCAGCTTACAGCTTGTGAACAGCTGCTAGCTATTAATGTGTAATTAAATCAAAGGCACAATTAAAAATCTCTTGATATTATCTATCCTTTGTAGATCCTGCCTAAGGCAAAAGACTGTGATGAAGAAAAGTTTCACCAGAGTTTGAGCAAGTTATTGCAGGTCATATTATCATAACACCTTCCATTTTTGCAAGTTAGCTTTTCACTGTGGGTTATGCAATATTGCTAGATAGAGCCAGACAGTTTGTACGATAAGGAAAAGTCTGTAAGGGTCTGGCTTTCTGTGTACGGAGAAGTATGGAAACTTTTCTCTGCCAACATGAAGTCACTTCTTTCAGCAATTCTCTTCAGAAGGCTAGAATAGCTGCATTACTGTGCATATGCCTTTTACTTCTATAGAGAAAAGTAATTCATGCCAGTGAATAATCCAAATACTGTCACAGATCCAAACTCTACTTGTCACGCTTGTGGGCCCTGCAGAGAGACAGTACCATGAGGAGAGGGTGAAGGGTCCTGTGTCTGGCTGTGGTACTGCTGCCCACAGGCCTCTCCTCCTGAGCTGCCAGCCCTGCAGCTCCCCAGGTGCGTTAACATCAGCAGCACCTGAGACTGACAAAACATGGAGGGGCAATAAAGTGTCTCTATGTGAGATTTCTGTTGGCATTTGGCCCTTTTCTATCTAATGGCACACCGGAAAGATGAAATTAAGTTTTAAAAAAAAACCTCTTAAAAATACAGAAAATATGTCTTTTCCAAATTTTGGGTGAAGGCTAAAACAGGGGAGTTTTTATATTAATTGCATAGTTAAGACTTGACAAATGTGTGTCTCTGTTAATTTACACAGGTCCCGATGGAGAGAAGGCCTGGCCAAAGAAATACCCATTTTGCGGAGGAGTTTTCCAATCGCCAATAGATTTCCACAAAGATATTCTCCAGTATGATTCTAATCTCTTGCCTTTAGAATTCATAGGCTATAACGTGCCCTCCACTGACCACTTCACATTGATCAATAATGGTCATTCAGGTAAGGGAGCTCAATGACAGCAAGGGATTGCAAAGAAAAGAGTTGCTGGAGCTCGTGATTTTTTATTTAATGGGTGAACTATTTCAATTAGCAGATGAAATTAAGCCATTATGATGAAGCCTTCACATCAGCATACCTACATCTAGGGAACAGGCTAGGGAAACTTGGGAATATACTAAGTGCAAATAGATTTGCAGTAAGCCAAATTGCCTGTGGTTTTTAAATGAACTCTAAGCATGTCAAAATTAATTCCCGAGCTTTTCTTATTACTTTGGTTGGATTGCTCTGAAACAGAAACAAACTTGGTGATTCTGTTAAAAAGAGATAAACTGATAAAATATGTGTCTCTGGCATTCCAGTCTAATCAAAGCAACTCAGCTGAATTACATGAGGGAGGGAGGGAGGAAGGAAAGAAAAAACCAAAAACCTAGGAGGACCATTCTATTCTTATGGCTTGAGATAGAAACCATTTTGTGTAAGATAAGACAGGTAGATAAAAAGACACAAAAATAATTAGAAATAGCATACGAACATGCTCTCCAGTGTAGTATAAATCAAAGTGTCAGTACATTAGGTAAAAGCAGAGAAGCTGCAGTCTCATAAAGGTCTACTATATTGACACAATATACTATCCCAGTAAGCTAGTCCCACCATTTTTTGTTCCTTCCTGAAACATTTGAAGATATAGAAATAAGAACAGTTACAAAACCCCTCTTCTTTGTATCCTACTCTACTGCATAAGCAGCAAAAGAACCTGTACTATAAAACGGTCTCTGGCATGCTTGGTTAAAAGACGCCCAACATGCAAACAGCTTTTTTCCTCACTCTTTCAGTGGGGTAAACCTGCTCTGTAGAACATCATAAACCCATTCTTCAGTAAGGGCATGGTTCCCGGCTTTTCTTTTGATCAATTTCTCCATCAAAACCAGGTTGCTTTAGATTAGGAATGGCTGGAACACCCTTTTCTTGTGAACCTTCTTTTCCTAAGAGCCTTTTTTGGTCCTGAGTGAAAGATTGTGCTGTCACGCGTGAATGTATTAGGCTGATGTAAATGACAGGCAACAGGCAGAGAAGGAAACATTGTTATTGTGGACTTTAACAGTGCCATAGAGCAGGTGGAGACAGAAGAACAACACTGAGATCCTGTCCTTTACATAATAGTCACACAGGTAAAAGCAAACTACTCGTAGCGCCTACGGGATTAACATTGTCAGATCTTGACCCTTAAACAAGAAGTTAATCTGCTTCGTAATGAAAGCCAAGACAAAATACACAGTCCCTCTCATTAAAAACAGGAACTCACTTCTAAAGTCAGAGCCCTCCTAGAAAGCAGGGGACATGTGACCCACTCGAGAAACCTCACTGAGATACAAATCCTAACGCTCCAAGTAATGAAAAATGAGCCTCTGTTAGAGTGATCATTCCACCATCTGCTGCTATCTTCTCTTATGGCTAGAGAGGAAATAAGCAGGATGCTTAGTATTTTGGTACAAGTCATTCCTACATATAATTAATGTGCTTCACCGGCCAGCTAATCCAGATGCAATTACCTACTTCAGCTAGAATGAAAACAGCAGAGCTCAAAAACAACTTTTTTAGCACTCGCATAAAAATACATAGGTTTGTTCCTTCATTAAGGTTTTAAGCCTTGTTTCCCTTGCAAAACATGTCTGGGACATGCCAGAAACAAACTGCATTAATACTGGAAACTAATAAAAATAAATTTCAAAGAAATTGATCTGTACTTTACATAAACTGTTGCTACATGAAGTACCAAACTTCTCCAGTGAACAACTCAGATTCTGCTGTGTTGAGAATTACTACTAAAATTTCTACACAAAAAAAAACCCAACCCAGGCTGTCTTCCACGCCGGAGAGCATTAGTGAGCAGAAGGGAAGGCAATGCATCCAAAGGCCTCCCTGCAGCATGTCAAGAGAGGAAATGCTAGTTCTTAAGGCCTGCGATTATCGTGCTGCTTGACATCAATGCTCTGGGGGGAGCAGGAAGTTTATTTGGTTTTGCCATATGCTCCTAAAAGATTAAGAGGCAGAGGAGTTCAATATAACAAGAGTTTAAAAATACCATGAGAAATATTAATTTATTAACCATTATAAGGGGACTGAAAGAAGGCACATGAATCTAAGTTTTGCTTTGACACGTCAATAACTCTCTCCGATAAGACTGAGATAATTTTGCATTCAGGGAGAAAAAAGATTACCATTAGTATCAATTCTCACATTCAGTTCCTTTAGTTTAAAAAAATAGAAAAAGAGTACATTCTAAATTCTCCTGAATTCCCTATGAAGGGTAAATGTCAACTGAAGTGTGTATCTCCTACCACAGACTGAGATAGATTTGAGTTAAGAATCTGCTTTGTTCACGCTCGATACATAATACACTTAGACACAGTATTTTTATTTGCCCTGTGCTTGAAAGCTGTGGTATCATTTAATCCCATCTGGTTTTGGTCTGCTCACAGTGAAAATGTATCTGTCGCCTACTATGTACATCAGAAACCTCCCATTTGAATACACAGCATCTCAACTTCACCTGCACTGGGGAAACAGAAACAAGTCAGAAGGCTCCGAGCACACAGTCAGTGGGAAGCATTTTGCAGCAGAGGTAAGACAAGCTCAGATCAGGGAAAGAAACAAAGAAGGTTGGGAAGGTCCCACAGATCTCCAAGGTGGGATCTTTATCTTGCGTATATGACTCTAAAAGGCTGCAAGGTTGTAATCCAAGGGTTTATGATCTGGTTATATACTAAGAAAAAAATGCATTGTGCACTGGATAAAGGATGGACTCTGATGTACTGCCGCAAGTCAGAGAGAATTTAGGGGGCACTGGGTCACTTGAGTAATTGCAAGCAAATTGCTACATATTTGACACCTTGATTCTTCTCTGTAAACCAGGTATACCTTTTAGCTGTACGACATTGCTTCTCTGTCTGCCTTCACTCACCTCCTTCTATCCAGTGAAGAACTATTCGTTATCTTTTCTAATCCTATATTATGGATTTGGGAATAGATTTTGAAAAGCAGTAACAATCGGATATTTACCCCCAAATGATTACAAGATAAATCTGTCAGAATAATTTGCTTGCATAACAGCACCTTAGAAATCTGTTTCTTCTCTAGTTACATTTAACACTGATTTTGCATTCTAAGCATCGGAGAGCCCCAAGAGTGCTAAAGTGTTAGTTTTTCATAAAAATTTACTACTCCTACAGTCAGGATGACTTGAAGCTTAAGTGATTGATTCTCTTCCCCCCAACTCCCCCGTTATGTAGAGGGGGGGTAATTCTGCTACAGCGTGGCTGGGAGTGGGAGTCCTGGACCTTTTGCTTTTCTCTAAAAAGATCTTACCACTACACCCAGAAATCACTGAAGGATCCCATTGTATTGTCTTAGCCCGAGGTTACCACACTGCTCCTTTTTAGCTGTGAAGCAGAAATGTCAGTATGCCCCAGACATTACCGTAACATAGTATCTCATTCTTTGTAGCTGCATATTGTACATTACAACTCTGAGAAATATCCAGATGTAACAGCAGCAATGGACAAATCTGACGGACTGGCGGTTTTGGCTATTCTTCTTGAGGTAGGATGCTGGACCCTCTTTTTTTTGTTTAGAATATGCTTTCAATCACTAAGTCACCGGAGACATTTAACATACAAAATTACCTAGATTATTCAGTGATGGTGTGGCTGAATAAAGGTTCTTCCTTTTCTCTTTCATGAAAAAGGGTCAGATTCCAGCAGCACATAGCTCAACAGGAACAAATTTTAAGAAAAGAGGAATTCTGAATATTTCCTTGTGATTTTCAGCAAATTCACTTGAGCTATGTAAAATCCATTTTTGCATTCATTTACAAACTAAGTATTAGTAGAGTTTATCAAACAGCAGACAACAGTGAATTTCAAGGTCAGTCAAAACTGCCTATTGTGGCATGAAGCAGTTTTAACACAGCAGAGAGGCAGAGGCAGTCACAGCCCTGGCTTTGGCCACTGTAATTAGGATTTGACCACAGTCTTCAGGTCGCAAACTTCCCAGATTCTTTGAATCACAGCTTACAGTAAACAAGTACATTCAGTGCCTTTTTAAGATGACAGAAGGACAGCTTTCCAATTTTCCCCTCTAAAGCCCCACATACAAGCAATTAAAGATAATGACAATCTGAAAGAAAAATTTTTAGAAGCTTATACATATATAATTCTCCTTTTTCTTGAAGATTAAACTCTTCAATAAAATACCTATAAAGATGATTTTAAAATGTGAGGATTTTCCGCAGCTTAAAAAGAAACTGAAAACACTCAGATTTTCACATTTCAAAAAAGTGAATATGTTCTAGTTAGCAAACAAAGGTCTAATTCTCATTAGTATTATCCAAGCTCACTTCCTAGCAGCTCTAAGACTTTGACAATAATTTTGTGTTAAATTTAAGTTCATTTGGAAGTTGCAGCTGTGAAAAGTGTCAGAGTATTGTATCTTATGCTAGGAAATCATACTGGGATTCTGGTTATTTCTAAGCAATGGTGTTTAAAAATCAAATAAGAGAACAATGAAGATTAGGTCTTTGAAAAAGTTTCAGACAGCTGGTGGCTATTACAGTTGATCTAAGGCTACCAGTTTACTACGTTGTCTGGTTGTCAGAGGAGTTGCTAAGCACCAACTCTAAAGAATTCATAAAAAAGGCATTGATTATTAGACTGAAAAGCTGCTGGTAGCAGTTGAAAAACATGGTCTTGTTTGATAGTTGAGTTATAGCCCTTGCCAGCCGCCCTGCGGTACCCAATAGTGTCATTCTTTATCTTCCTGGACTGTGAGGAGCAGCAGACTGAAAAATATTTGTGGGTGGAAAAATGTGGCTTTGAGCAGAAACCAGTAGATGATGTGAGAAGCCTGTCAGTTGAGAACTTATGCCTGCAATGTTCCCAGAAGAAATGGTTTCTCTTCATTTGCACAGCATGCTCAACAGGCAAGGGCAATAGGGCCTTTCAAGTGCACACAAGAGGTCTACACTGCAGTTGTTAAGACAGCATTATGGCAAAGCAGCTCTAATGGCTCTGGAGCAAATAAGAGCATTACTGGGGTTCCAAGAACAGTCTTAATGTTTTGAGTAAAAAGAATACTTACACCATTCTATTATATGAATATCTGGACAGTGGGGATGCCTTATGACAGAGGCTGTCATACACTTCTGTCTGCTGTGTGCAGAAGTAAAGACTCATATTCAGAAGACGGTGATTTGCACAGCTGTTAATAACCTCCTCATTACAGATTGGACCCTTCAACCCATTCTACGAAAAGATCTTCAGGCACTTCCGGAATGTGAAATACAAGGGTGAGTGGCCGTGAGCCTGCAATTGGATTGAGAATGGCTAAGAGTCACACTGAGAGGGATTGAACTCCTTGAAGAAATAGTCCAGAAAACCCAGGCAAACCTGTCACAAACTGTGAAAGACTTATAAATGCAGTGCCTTTCTATGAAGAGCGTATGGCTGGCATGCACCAAATGTTTTTGACTGGGCCTTATTTCTTGCACATGATGTTTTTTCGTTAATATGGCCACAGTTTATCTTACAGAATTCTGATTTAGTATCTAAAACAAGATTCCTTACTAAACTGACATAATATTTGTTAAAATGTATTTGTTTTTTCCTAGTGATATGACTAAATGCCTCCTACTTAATGAAAAGCAAATTCACTTCACTGGTACACTACCTGTGTAGTAATGATGCAGCATTTAACACGAATCCCCTATTTTAGATCAGATGGTCCAAGTCCCTGGTTTCAATGTTCGAGAACTGCTTCCTGACAGACTGGATGAGTATTATCGCTATGAAGGATCCTTGACAACTCCTCCTTGCTACCCTAGTGTTCTCTGGACAGTTTTCCGACACCCCGTTAAAATTTCACAAGAGCAGGCAAGTTTCAATACAGCATATGTTTTCTGATTGGTGTCTGCTTAAGAACAGTAAACACATATTCTCATTTCCTGGATTTCTCTTGCATTCCTGTACAATTGAAAGATGATCATTGTTAAAATCCTCTAAGTGGGAAGAATTTCAAAGAACTGACATGAATCAATATCCTATTCCATTTGTGGTTAGCACATTTTCAGAATCAGAATAAATAAAGGACAGACACCTGCATAGCCATTAGTATAGTATCAGCTTGAAAAGTCACCATCAGTTGAGATTAATTTCTATTTTCACTATGTACTTACTCCCCGCTTTGAGTCTTTCCATGAGTCACTTCAAGATAATTTTTGTTCAGGATTCATGTCTGAACCCTGTTCACTATACTTTGATCCTATGGTAGGTTAGGTAGAGGTTAAGTTTCTAAAAAGCACATGATGTGTTATTTGTCAATCTTGAATCCCCTGGCTTTTCTCCAATTTATGTTTTTTGTGCTCACCTAATTAACTTTTTTTGTTCTTATGTGGCCACTTACATAGCCTATAAACTCCCAATCACTATCTTCTGATTCACCTAATTATAAAAACAGGAGAAAAACATTATTATCAAAATCTCTGCTTAAATTACTGCACGCTCCTTGTTATGAAAGTCCATTCTTAATTTTGTCCACTCTGCCAGATCACGTTTTTACCAAAGTAGAGAGTTCTTTCATAAAATAGCTTTTAGTACTGCTTAGGAGATTCGTGCTATGGAGAACATGCTGCAAAGGGTCACTATCTTTCCTTCCATCCAGTCTTCCTGGCGGATGGATCCTCACTAAGCAAGATTAATTTTATGAGGATGCAAACAAAATACAGGTATGGGTTTGGAGATGCCACACTGTTTACACATTATTCTGTATTTGGCTCACAGCAGTGTAAGACTTAAGTATTACTTCATTACTTAACTCTTCCCTTTGACTTAAAACACACTCTCAGTGATCCTACACTGGGGTTGCTTTTTCTGTATTCTGGGAGCTGAACAGGCTGCTTCCCTCTACAGTTATTGGCACTGGAAACAGCCATGTACTGCACAGAGAGTGATGACCCAGAACCACTGGAAATGGTCGACAACTTCCGAAATGTTCAGGAATTTCATGAAAGGCTGGTTTTTATCTCCTTCCGTGAAGGTAAGCTGTATGAATACTTCTATGCAAAGAAACAGTGCACAGTGATTTGTGTAAACTTGAAAGTCCTGTTGTACTTTACCACTACAAAAATACAAAAATCTCATTTTCCCATAGTTCACTTTGTTCCATTTCCTTCTCTTACCTCATGATTGCACGGGCAACTGTCCAAGAATAAGGTACTCATGAAGAGTACATAAGAAGGTTATTTTCCACAATGAGTATCAGGCAAGCCCTGCAACCCTTCTGATCAAAGGCAAGGAGATAAGAGAAGGAAGACATGCTTGGCCTTGTCATGCTTAGCAGAAATATTTGCTGTCACTCCAAACACTAAACAGTTCTCTGCGGCTGAGCTGTTTCAGTCAGCGTAAGTGCTCAAGCTGGCCTGGTCTCACCAGTGACATTTGCTGGTGTCAGCAATATCAGGATTGGTTTTATGCTGACCACACATTTAAAGGGAATCATAACTTTGCCTTTTAGTGAGACTGTTTTGGGGAAACTACATAGAATCAGAAGAGGTTCTTGAGGAATTCAAACTTGACAAATAGAAATAATTCATAACACTGGATTGTATTATCCAGGGTTACAAATGAAAAAAATCACGATCTTATGAGGAAGAACTGATTTGAAAGCTTATTTACACAGTGTTACACAATGACAATGCATAGGTTAGGAGGGAGGAAGGAGGTTGCACAAAAACCTGCATATGTGGTGAGAAGCTGAGCTGTGCCATACAGTAAGGCATTCACATATATTGTTTATGCTAAATATATTGTTCCACTTTCTGTGTTGTCTTGCAAAAAAATACTTTCAAGCAGTTGTAAAGCTGGCACATACACTGAAGCGATGTGAAATACTATAGCCACTATACTATTTGAAAGTGAGAGTAAAAGATTTTTGAAAGAAAAAGTAGACTTCACAAAAAAGACTGGTCAAGCAGTAAACTTTTAAAACAATAAAACATGTTAGCACATGACTTGAAATTTGCCTGCTAGTCTCTTCACTGTGTAGATGAAAGAATGGAAAACAGGAGTTGTCTGTATTGGGAAATTTCACACAATAGCCACTGCAGGGAACTGCAGGCAAACTGCAGTAGCTGTTCCTGCCATTCCCCTCTGCAGACACTCCCTTTCATAGTATATCTTTTCTAATACAAAGCTATAAAGAAGGAAAGTGAAAATTAGAGATCAGCCAAAACAAATCCCAGACAAAACATTTCTCTGAAATCAGAGACGATTTAGAATTGTCATCAAAAGTTGGCTGGTCTCTTTGTCACATTAGCTGCATCAAAACTTACAACTGGAGCAGTGTGGAGCATCAGCAGCATTTGGCCCTTATTTGAAGGAAATCTCCATCTTTGAGATAAAACCCTGAGACAATTTCAGAAGTCATTCCGTGGCTGGGGACCATATCAGTTCTCATGGAAACATTGTAAAATCTTTCTAAGGCTTCCCATAAGAGGAACATAATTCTACCATGAAGTTTCTTTTGAGTGCCTTCTCTGGAATTATTGCACATAACTTAGTAATTATTTAAATAAGTATGTTGATGCTATTGTCCATGCTACTTAAGCACATTTCTTTCATTGAGTTCTAATGTTTTAGACCTTCATTTCTCTCTATTTTTACTGAAGTAAAAATTTTTAACTGTTCTGAGCTGACTGACTATATGGCTTGAACCACAGGAAGCCATAACTTCCTACTCTCCAGCTCTGCTTCATATCTCTATGTTTCATAATCTCCAGAGCTCCAGTGACAATGCAGCAAAAGCCTCCCTATCAATTTATCAGCTAAGAAAACTGATTTGTTTGTATACTGTTGGTAACAAGTGGAAACCTTTTTTATTGACTGCAATATGAGCAGTCAGGTTATTTCTGTGACTATATATAACTCCCAAACAGGGCATACACAAGTCACACTTGGGATTTTGCTGGTTGTTTTGTTCCTTGATTTCTCATTGTATACCGTATAAAGCCATAGTCATAATATTCTATTCTATACTCATGCCTCTTATCAGGTCCCTATGCCACCACTTGCAGATTATAATGGATGGTGAACCATGCCTCAATTTAATCTCATTTTAAAATGAGTACTTTTCTTGTCACTAGATTTACTAGATCATCAACAATCTTTATGAGCCTCATGATTAATATACAAACTGGTATTAGTTGCACAAACAATATTTTGAGTAAACTAAAAGACGGCTAAAGAGTGAAAAGAGGAATGAACCAGAGTATGTCAGTCCTTTTTCTGCTTTTGTGGCCAACTAGAAATATCCCTGTCCTCTGTGACATTCTTTTATGACCAGAAAGAGGGTTAAAACTTTCTTCCCAAACGTCCAATCTCAAACACTGGCTACCAGCTAGAGAACTAACTGGGTCCAGAATGGCTGTTTCCGTAATCCCCTTCAAATCTCTGCTCAAGTCAGATTATGTACAATGATTTTAAACAGCAGAATCAGGATTTGCAATACAGCTGCCAAGTGTCTGAGACTGTAAGGCTTCCTCTGTGGGGTCTTTCTTAAATCCATGCACAAACCATCCACTATAGCAATGTCACTGCAGAAACACTTACTGAAGTAACATAAATTCTGGAGTAAGCAGCTACCTCACATTTAAGACCAGTTCACCGTGGACTCCTAGAGATCCATCTTTTACTTTTTCTACCCTCTCAATTCGTGCAGATTCAATACCTGGTAGTCTTGGCAAGGGTATATTGCTGATTGCTAACCGCATCTATGATTTTCTGAATCAGACTGGTCAGCCAGAAAGGGGAAATGCAGTTTTCCATCTGTTTCTTAAGCTGACCTTTCAGCACTTGACTACCTTCTTACTGTAAATCACACTCAATGCTTAAAAATAAAAGGTAGAGAGTTACAATCCATGGTCCCAGTAACTGAAAATCAGATACTATGCTTTTCATCCAGGAATCTCTAAACACTTCACAGAAATAGTGTAAGCATTATTATTTCCATCTATGGGGGAAAATTTGACCCAGATGTGACTTTCTCAAAATTGTTGCTGTGAACCAGTGCCAAACCCAAGAATAACATTTGGCTCTCCCTCTATTAAGCCACATTATTTGGCTCCCACGCAGAGGTGACACCAGCTATAAAAGCATTTTCAATGTATCTTTAAAGTTGGCATGATTTACCAGAGTTGAATTGTATGGGTTATTGCCCATCCTGCTGTTCTCACCCAAGAACTCGTCTCTATGGCTACAAAAGGCATTGCTGAGTGCTACTTTAACAGAAACCCCATTCAGTCTAAGTACATTTAATTACAAAAGCTCATTGACTCCATCAGTGAACCATAGAAAAATGTTCTACCCATTTCAAAAAAGGTATTCATCAATCACCCCTGTAATCTCACATTCCACTTACTACGGTCACAAAGGCTCCCTCACAGGTGCAGCCCCTCACCTCAAAGTAAAAAAGAAAAGGTACAATTAACGTGCACCTGGTTGCTGGCTGCAAGTGCCCAGCCTGATGCAGCCAGCTGTGCCACAGGTAGGATCAGGGCATGTTTGTTAAGAAGGGAAGGAGAGGCCGTACACAGAATCATGGCTTGGGACAGGCAACGATAGAAATTTGTGAAAGAAATCCTGTTGTGCACACAGTAAGCCCCTATAAAGCAGGTTTTCAGATTAATTTTTCTGCCCTTTCAATGACAAGGGCTTCCATCTTCACCCGAGCACAGATGCCACAAGATGGGGCCGTTGAGCTGTGTGTTGTATCAAAAATGCAAACTGTTCCATCATCCACATTTTGATGCCAATAATTAAAATGCAATGTCATACTCACTATTAACAAGTACTACATTTCAAAATGTCTCTAATCTTAACGGATTATTCAGCAAAACTCAAACATGTCTATAATGTATTTTGCCTGTCAGCAATCTATTCCAATGAAATCAGTTTCACATATACACAGCTGAAATTTATTACAGTGTTCAAACCTTCCTCTGCCCACAAGTTAAATGAGAACTGGTGTCTAGTTTTGATTATAGCACCGTGCTGAAATACTGTCTAACTAAATTTTGCAAGAATGTCTTTTCATCAAACAGAAATGCCCCCTACCCTTCCTCTTCAAACTATAAACTGTTTCTACAATTATCTATTTGGTTTTATACTTTTTTGTCCATTTGACACACCTATTTTACTATAAAAAAACTCTCCTTTTTTGAAATACAGTTTTTCTTCAACTCCATGGATTGCAAGTTTCTTCTAATCAGTTGGACTTAAAATTAATAGAGAATCTAATGTGTTAAATGGGATTAGGTTAAACTCCACCTTGTAGACTTGTTTTCTCAACAGCTGATTTAATAAAAGAAAATATTTAGATGGAACACATGAAACCTGTCAGTTTCACTCCCAAAGGTTCTGATCTTGCTTAGAAATAATTTCATTTCATAAAATATAAAAAACAATGTGTAAATGAATTCTGAAAATGCAGTTAAATAAAGAGTGCTCACCTTCAGGATCTTTGGGAAGTCCAAAATAAATAAAAAAAAAACTTTCATTGACAAATTATATATGAAGGTCATTATCAAAGACGGCATTATAATGGTAATTCTTAACGTCTCAATGCAAACATGAGATCACTCAGTTCTTCATACTAATATCCCGAATTCATTCTTACCTTCTTAGATGCCTTTAAGCAACGTTCTCAACAACAAAGCATGTCACTCTTCAGCTGTCCACATTCAACAGTGTTCTGCCTCGAAAAAACAAAAGGCATCAAATTTTAACATCTTAGTTGCCTGGGTTTAATTCTCCAGTTTTGCTTACACTCTCTTATACATTATAGCATTGAAATCCAAAGACTGATCTGCTGTGCCTGTGCCTGCATGTTGGCTTTGCGACTTCAGTGGGTGTCTAAATGCACAGATTGTGAACTGTGGATCCAGTTGTGGGATTAGGACCTTCCAGTAGACATCTATGCAAAGTTATCCATTCCATAATTGGAAAGTGGTATGAGCAGGCTGTAGGAAAGTTGCAGATGCAGAATGCAAATGTTATGACGGATTAGAGACTAACCTTCTCCTCTCAAGTAAATTGAATTCACTGTTTCATATGCTTTCCTTCTTTTCCTAGGTTTTGTTGTTTCTGTTGTGACAGGCTGCATTCTGGGAGTTCTCATCATTCTTGCAGTAGCCTTCTGGCTACTGAAGAGGAAAAGGTAAGATGTCCGGCGGTCACATCACAGGCAAAGAAGTCAAACCAAATTTTCCTTCTCACACAAAGAAGAGCTTGTTTGTCTGAAACCTTGTACATTTTTTATAGTGGTGATGTTTGATCTTTTATAAGATACAATCTCTTCCTACAAGCTTTGATCTGTTTTTATCACTATAGATATTATTTCTCCTATATCATGTACTCTAAAGTAATTCTATTTTACTGACAGCAAAATATGTTTATATGGCTACTCGCTGCAACCTTTGTGCCACAGGGGCCACCATTCTGCCATTGTAGGAATGGTTGGTTTTGGTGACAAGCAACCATATAAGGCTGTTTTTCCACAAAGTAATAATTACTGGAACAGTGCTCATGTAAACCCCTTAAAAGATACACGGACAGGAAATAGGGAATTGTATGTGAGTACCAGGGAGAACACAAAACCAGTTTCCACTCTCTGTACAGACTGCTCCCCCAAGCCGTTAGGAAATGAGAGTCCCTTTCCAAGAGGTGGACAAGCAGGCTGCGTCAGTAAGAGACTCACCCAGTTTTTATGTTTCTCAATTGCCATTTTTTCTTATTCTTTTTGCTAGCACTGCTTCTCGAATTCTTTCATTTCTTCCTAGAATAGTAATTAAAACAAAAGGGGAACAGAGTTTTAGAAAAAAACTCTCCCAAAGGTCACATCATTTAAGGGGAAGAAATCTGTACTGACAAGAGATCATTTAGCCAGACTGTTTGCCACCAACGCCAAATTTTTGAAAAAAGACTAAAATTACAAACCTTTCTACAGCCTGACTCCTTTGCAACCAGCATTGATTCTGCCACACAGAATGTCTTCTCCTGAAATATTTCTAACAATAAGCTACTGTGACATTTGCACTGGTACAGAGAAAAATAATCTCATGCACGCATAATGGGCCATTTTCAGTAACCAGTGGTGCTTTTTCTTCATTGGAATTACAATTATTTAATACATTTGTTTTATTTTAGCTGCAAAAAGGGAGGTGAAGACAACAGAGGAGTCATCTACAAGCCAGGCACGTACAAGGAGGACAAAGACATCTCCAAACTTTGATGCCCTGCTCTGCCACAACAGCCCCTTTTCATTCATTGCACTGATTTATTTTGCATTGGTGGAACACATCTCTTGTTCTTGGCTAATGATAAGAGTGTTCTGAAAACATACAAGCCAAAAGTTTTCTGTAGCCCTTGTTCTCTTGTTTTCCAGGGAGATATGATCAGTGAATACTCCTGAGCTAAATTCCTCACCACATTCTTTTTATGTTTGCTGCTTACTGAGTCTGGGTCTTTTAATTGATTTTACAGTTAATCCTAAACTCCAATTTTATGGTTTGTTTAGCACAGATTTTCCCACAGGTATTCAAATCTGAAGACACTCATTAAGCTACAAGCACTCTCCCCTGCTAAATCAAGGTATTGGGTTTAGCACCATGAATATAAACAAGGCAAAGAGCAATGTGTATTTGAGATCAGAATTTGAACTGAATTTGAACTAGGTTGTCCAGCGGACACAGTTTTTAAAATCACAGCAAATGATGCCAGTAGATGCACCAGAGGCTTTTAACAGAAATATTAGAGGAAAAGACAAGTGTAAATGCAATGAAAGCCACATGGATTGTTAAAAGGGTTCAAGCCCAGGAACTCAGTGCTGAAAAAACACTACTGCCAGAGGAACAGCTCACTGTCCAGTTATTACACAGCCTCACAAATCTGTTATGGAGGTCAGCCTCTGTCTGTCAATGGAATTAGAGAAGCGTCTTGTCTTACTATCCTGCTCTTATTTATAGTGTGTGTATGAATGATGTGGAGATACTGTAGCTGCTGCTGCTTTTAAGCAGACTTGCCATTTTATCATGAAATCTTGATTGATTTTACAGTAGATATTACAACTGCAAGTATACAATAGATGGTTTCACTGATTTAGTTCTCTGAATTTAGCGATTTAATTATTAGAAAGCAATCAAAATTATTTTTTCCAATCTCATAAACTAGATACTTTTGAGTCTTATTATGCATTTTTGAAAGCAAGAAGCATAAACCCCTGTTTCCACTGAAGACAACATGAAAATGTCACTGACTTCAGGAAGAACAGCATTTAGCCACCCTAGCCCCAGCTGTATACAGAACTCCTCTTGAATTTGACATCTAAAGCGAGGGTCTGAAATGCTTGTACTGCAGTAACTGAACTTTACAACTGAACAATCTGAACTTTATACTTCAATCCATTTTACATTCAGTAACACCACCACCACACTTGTGATTTTAAATAAATAAATTCTTATTGTATGTGTTTTCCCCTTTTAAGACGGCAGATACATACTTATGTTTTAGATTCTTATGCTTCCACCTCCAAGAAAATTGTTTGATGCCAAAAGCAAGCTTTTGAGTGAAAGAAGAAATAACTTATCAACACTTATTTGAAATTTAGGAGCATAAACTTACAACTAAGTACACTGCATTTGCCAGCATTTTTATCTCTCATAAACAAGCACATAAAGATCATTTTGTTGAAACGTTTGAAGTTATTTAAACAGCAGCATTTGTGTGCTACTGGGAACATTACTTACTCTTTGAATACAGGTGTTTAGAGACACCTGTATGGTTTCTCATATTTCTTCTAGAAGAGTAACATTTTAATTAGTATTTTAATCTTCAGCTGAGCTGATTCAAAACATCGATCAATTACTCTCTTTTGCACACAACATCCTCGGCATCTGTAAAAAGCAGCATAAAAACCTCAGTCAAGAACCATACACTTACTGTGAGGAAAAGTCTCATGTTACATATTACACATTAGGCAAAAAATACCTACTTCAGAACTATTTCTTAAGCAAAAGAACAAACTGAAGAGGCATTCACGCAAACAATATTCCCGCTCCTCCCACTTGTAACACTAATTGCATGGTGTCCTCCTATGAAATCCATGCTGCCTTTGAAAACACAAGCACATGGGAATTTTCATTTTTCGTTAATATTGTATTACCAGTTTGCACTGCCAGTGGTCTCTAAGCTGAAAGAATCTAAACCCATATGTTTTCTGGGCTCTTCAGCCACTATCATCTCTACTGAAGTATCACATTATTTTAATACTTTCCAGAACATTTCTTTCATCATTCTTACATGCACAACATTTCAGATGTCTAGAGAAATCAAGCTTGATCAGAAAGACAGATGTAGTGAACACACTACCATATTAAATTAAAACAATTTACAAAAATTACAATTCACTCCTTTTTAAATGGAATGACCCATTTTTGAGGCTCCGATACCAGAAATGAAGCCTAAATACCTTAAGCCAGAAAAGAAGTGAAAGAGTTAGATGCCAGAAGGGGTGTAAAGCTCTCCTTCCATTTCCCTGTGAAGGAATTCCCTTGTGTTACAATGCACCCATAACATGACTAGATAATCTCAAATCCAAACTCAAGAGTATTCACTTCCTGTAAGCAAATATGAATATCCTCACAGAGGTGCTTTACTGACTGCCTTACTTCCTGGTTAGCTCAAGAATTTCTCCTCTCAGGAAGAGGTTATCAAAATAGCAGCTACCAGGTTTTCTTTTTTTTTTTCTTCAGAAAGGAGAACTTAGCATTTCAGGACATCCTATCATAGTTTATATAACAAAGGTTGAAATCAAATTGGTCCAACTTTGTCCAAACTGGCTAAAAGGTGTGTATGGTGGGATCATGACAAATAACTTATTTTTAAATGAACAGTGTACAACACATCTCGCACAACTAAGTGCATTTCAAAATTTGCTCAGGAAGCATTGAGTCACAAGAAGTTCTGCATGTATCATATCTAATGTACAAAAGCAACCCCCAAAGAATTACTTTTAATATATACACCTAAAAGTTAATGGCCAGTAAAAGCAAATTTTAACTTCTGAAAAATTGTATTAAATAGAGAAGCTTAAAAAAAAAAAAAAGGCTTCTTGACTTCAGCTACAAAAGTGAAAGAAAATGGAGCTTGTTTGCTATTGCCAAGCTTACGGTGTTCAAGTAAAATTTTAATTTCATTAATTCTGTAGCAAGATCAATACATTAATTCTCATCTAAGTTTAAGACCTAGCCCTCAACTTTAAATCTGTTATCTGTAGTTAAACATATACATTTAATATTGAATCATTTGTCTTATTGTTGCAGAAAGCTGCAGCTGAACTCTTAAGTCCTCAGATGTAGGGTATCCATGAGGAGGTCTGAATTCTGCATCTCAAACAGCTGCCTGACCAAAAAACAAACTATGAAGTAAACAAATATTTTTTTCCTCCCCTAGAAGGTATCAGTTGCTCTAAATGCATAGAGACATTATAGAGGATATTGGACACTATCTGAGATGCTGATGAGCTAAAAGGAAGTCACTGTCCCTGCATAACAAGCAGCATTTCAGAGTCTGCAGGGAGCACCTGCAGTGAGGAAAGTCGAAGACCCCAGGAGGATCAGGGTAACAAAGGACAGTACTTTGGTACCTTCATAGTGAGGATGCAGGGAAGTCTGCAAAAATAAAAATACAGATAGTTCAAGCAAGTAGCATCCGTTTGTACCTCTGCTCATTTTATAGTGGTCTGGTAATCTGCCCCACTTTCCACTTCTCTAACAGTTGAGACTTTAAAGAAATGAAACTGATTGGTGAACTAACGAGACCCGATGCCATCAGGAGGCTCAGAACAATCATCACCACTGCCAACCATTGCTTTTTTATTATTTTCGAGTAATCAGATTTTCTGAAATCCTAAAAGGAAACTGCAAAATAGTTATTCTTACACATGGAGCGTATTTTGAAAAATCAGTTTGTGACTTAATTATGGTGTGGGGTTTTTTAATCACAAATACAGGTTGGGACATAAAAATTCAAAAAGACACTGTGGGGGGGGTATTATTACCTTGCAAGGAATATTTAAATCTTATTAACACCTTCAATTAATTTTATTTTCCTTGGTTTCCTTCTACTTAAACAAAGTCAAAGATCTTCCTTCATCACTAGAAAACGTAAACTGGAGCTTAACCTACCCCACAGACCTCTTCAAAAGAAGGCAATATTTATATGTTCTACATTTCAAACATGCCAGATAATCAGGAACATTACAGAAAAGTAAACTCCGACACCCTTTTCAGTTTTGGCTGCCTATTCAGTAAGTAAATGTTTGCAGACAGATTTCAAATTATCTGTACTTTAATGAAGCCCAACAAAAGCAAACAGAAGACTTTGTAACACACACACAAAATTTCCCATCGTGCTCATCCTTCAGAGTGGACAAAAAAACACCTGTGGCTGCTGGATGGCCTCGCGCGGCTGTACAACACTGGGGGTGGGTGTACCCAACTGCTGAGTGCAGGCTGACACGAGGACAGTATCCAGCACCAGGACATGCTGCAGTACCCATTTCTCTAGCAAGAACACTCATAGAATCATAGAATGGTTAGAGCTGGAAGGGGCCTTAAAGATCATCCAGTTCCAACCCCCCTGTCCTGGGCAGGGACACTTCCCACCAGACCAGGTTGCTCAAAGCCCCATCCAGCCTGGCCTCAAACACCTCCAGGGATGGGGCAGCCACAGCTTCTCTGGGCAACCTGTTCCAGTGCCTCACCACCCTCACTGTAAAGAATTTCTCTCTAGTATCTAATCTAAATCTTCCCTCTTTCAATTTAAAACCATTACCCCTCATTCTATTGCTACACTTCCTGACAAAGAGTCCCTCTCCAGCTCTCCTGTAGGCTCCCTTCAACATCTAGTACCTGCTTGGGTCTTCACAAAATAAGTAATAGGTAACAAAGAGATAGTGTCTTGGAAGCCTCAGGGAATCAAGCAACTCACAAGCAACTCACACGACCAGTTAAATGTTTCAGTGGTACCAGTTTTAGATCATTTGATAACATTAAAAGCCTTTCTTGACTGTCCCAGAAGCTCTGCCCAAGCTCTAACCTAGAACCATAACCCACTCACTGCATAGCTTTAGACAATTATGTATTCATTACTTTTTCTGAAACTTACAAATTTGTTCTATAGCTAACCTAATTCATTGCACCTTGTTCCACTCATAAGACAACTTTCTACCACAATATGGCAGCTTCAGCTTCAGAACATCGTTCCTCACCAAGAAAAGACTGCTGGCCAGCAAATCAAAATCTGATATTAGGATAATTCAAAATGAGTAATTTTATTAAT